CATGGAGGTTCTTAACCTGCATGCAGGACCTTAACCTAATGCAAGAGGTATACGGCCCCACTAGAGAGAATGCCTTACTGGATTTGGTGTTGGCTACAGGGGAGGACCCAGTAGGGGAGCTGCAGATTCATGGTCACCTCGGGGACAGTGACCACTAGTCAATCAAATTCACCATACCGCATAGGGTGGCTAAGATAACCAGTAGGGTGGAAGTGCTGGAATTTAGAAAGACTAACTTCAGTGTGCTTAGGAGTTTAGTCAATGATGCACTGCAGGATAAGGGTATTGGTGAGATGGGAGTCAAGAAATGGTGGTCGTTCCTAAAGGAAGCGATCCTTTGGCCACAGACACAGACGATCTCAGTGCAAGAGAAAGTGGGGAAAGGAGCCAAAATCTTCCTTGGCTAAACGGGAATTCAGGGGAGCTTACAGGCAAAAAATAAAGCATATAGGCAGCAGAAGCAGGGGGAAGCTACCTTAAGGGTATTGGTGAGATGGGAGTCAAGAAATGGTGGTCGTTCCTAAAGGAAGCGATCCTTTGGCCACAGACACAGACGATCTCAGTGCAAGAGAAAGTGGGGAAAGGAGCCAAAATCTTCCTTGGCTAAACGGGAATTCAGGGGAGCTTACAGGCAAAAAATAAAGCATATAGGCAGCAGAAGCAGGGGGAAGCTACCTTCTTGGTCTGCACTTGCAGGGAGGCAGTTAGAAAAGCCAAAGCAACTACAGAGCTGAGGTTGGCAACACAAATTAAAGACAACAAAAAGGGGCTTTTTTAGGTATGTAGGGAGTAAAAGGAAGGCACAGGGCAGCATAGGACCCCTATTGAACAAGAAGGAGCAATTAGTGACATACAGGGGGGACAAGGCTGAGCTATTCAATGAGTTTTTTGACTCGGTGTTCCTGAACAGGGCTCAAGGTAAGTCTCCTAATGGGTTCATAGATGGGCATCAGAGGGACACCAGCCCAACAACTGTCGATGCTGACTTGGTCCAATCACTTGGATGGACTGGATGTGTTCAAGTCAGCAGGCCTTGATGAGCTGCATCCGAGAGTACTGAAGGAATTGGCCAGTGTCATAGCAGAGCCACTGGCATGGCTGTTTCAGCACTCGTGGTGCTCAGGTCAGGTCCCAGAGGACTGGAAAAGGGCCAACATGATCCCTGTTTTCAACAAGGGGAGGTAGGAGGATCTGACTAATTATAGGCCAGTCAGTCTCACCTCTATCCTTGGAAAGGTCTTTTAAAAGATTATGAAGGATCATATTTGTGAGAGTCCAGTGGGAAAAATAATGCAGCAGGGAAACCGGCATGGATTTGTAACAGGTAGATCATGCCTGACCAGTCTGGTTTTGTTTTATGACAGGGTCACAAAATTCTTAGATGCAGGAGTAGGGGTGGATGTAGTTTTCTTTGATTTTAGCAAGTCCTTTGATACCATATCTCATCCTATTCTCCTAAATAAATTAAGAGGTCATGACAAATGTTTACATGGTCCCGTGTGTGGCAAATTGGCTTAGCAGTTGCACCAAGAGAGTGGTAGTAGATTGGTTGGTATTGACCTGGAAGGATGTGAGTAGTGGGGTCCCACAGGGCTTGGTCCTTGGATGTGTGCTCTTCAATGTCTTCGTCAGTTGGGTGTGAAGTGTACTCTGTCCAAGTTTGCGGACGATACTAAATTGTGGGGTGAAGTGCACACCCCAGAGGGGAGGGAAAGGTTGCAGGCAGATCTGGCCAGGTTAGAAAAGTGGGCAGTATACAATAGGATGCAGTACAACAAGGACAAGTGCAGAGTGCTGCACCTAGGGTGCAAAAATATCCAGCACACCTACTGGCTGGGAAGTGACCCTCTCAGCAGCACCGAAGAGAAAAGGGACCTCGGAGTCAATGTGGACTCCAAGATGAACAGAAGTCATCAGTGTGATGAAATGATCAGCAAAGCTGACCATACTTTATCATGCATCGGCAGATGCATGATGAATAGATCCAAGGATGTGATATTCCCCTCTATGTGGCATTGGTCAGACCGCAGTTGGAGTACTGTGTCCAGTTTTGGGCACTGTACTTCAAGGAGGTGAATAGACTCAAGAGGGTCCAGAGGAGGCCACTCATAGGGTTCAGGGCTTACAGGCCAAACCCTATGAGGAGAGACTGAGGGACCTGGACCTCTTTATCCTCTGCAAGAGGAGGCTGAGACGGGATCTTGTGGCCACCTACAAATTCATTAGGGGAACACAGCAAGAGATTGGAGATGCTCTGTTCACCAGGTGCCTCTTGGGGTAACAAGGAACAATGGTCACAAACTAACAGACAGCAGATTTAGGCTAGATACCAGGAGAAATTGTAAGGGTGGCCAAAATTTCAAATGGGCTTCCAAGAGAGGTGGTGGTCTCCCCTACCTTGGGGGTCTTTAAGCGAAGGCTGGATAGGCATCTGGCTGTGGTCATCTGACCCCAGCACCCTTTCCTGCCTATGCAGGGGATCAGATTCAATGATCTGTTGAGGTCCCTTCCAACACTAGCATCTATGAATCTATCTCCTTGAAACTTGACAGTCCTTGTGGCCTCCGAAGGAGCTACCGTCCCTGGTCTTTTCATTTGAATCAAGCAGGAAATGACAAAATTATAGGCAGTTTTGTGATTCCCTGTTATAGCCTATGGGCAAAATGTCAAAACAGCATCGAAACAGTGAAAGAGTCTTGACAAAGCAAAATGGAACAGCACTTCAAAATGAAACAAAAACCAAAATGAAACACTGTCCCATTGAAACGACCAAAAGGAAGTCGGAACAAAATGGTGCTGTTTCACACAGCCTTAAACATGGCACCCTTCCCTGACCACCCTCTTTCTACTCCCTCCAGTCCCTTGCAGGCTGGAACTCTGCCAGCCTGGACAGACCTCTTTCCAAAACAGCAAAATCCATGTGTTTCACCACTAAAATAAAAAAAAAACCCTGCATTTTTCCTTAGGTAAAAGGGGAAATCTGCATTTTTTTTCCATTTTCCATGGAAAACAGAAAACCTGGATCCCCAGTTATAAGTTATTCAAGTGCCCTCAAGGGATTTGCAACCTTTCCCTTCCAGCCCAAGAAAGCACTCTTTCTTGTCAATACGGTGCCTGCGGGATGCCCTCGCCCTAGCACCCCTAGGACTGAGCAGGTGAAAGGCTCACATCATCCAGGTCCCACTGACCAGCACACTAGAAATAGCTCAGAGGCCTGATCCAGCATAGCACTGGGCCACCAGGACATTTGCACTTGTGCCAAAGATGAGATTCGGTAGACAACCATGGGGGCTGTGCTGAAGGGGTAGCAGCCACTGCTACAGGGTCAATCTGGTGAGCAGAAGGGAACATCTTCAAAAATTGTAGTGTGCTCCTGTGCTTTGAGAGGAGGAAGTAAAGAGAGAGCCCATCTTCATGTCTGACAGACCTCAAGCTCATTTAGCCATCTCAAGTACTCACCTGATCCCATGACTCTGTTTGAGCACCTGGCCATCACTGGGGAGCTGTCAGCACACCAGTGATATTGCCTGCAGCCTCTGCACAAAATGGGCAGGTTCCCGGCAGAGATAAACCACAACCTTGGCTTGAAACAATAACCCACGGCAGGTAAACTAGCCTAGCTTTAAAACAGCACCAAGCCCAGGTCAGAGGGACTTTTTAATGAATCACATTCAGAGGACAGCAGGGAAGCAAACACCCAGGTAATGACCTGGGATGACTGGACAATGAACACATACTGTGAGTGACTTGCCCACAATCTGTAGCAAAGCAGGGAATGCGAACCTGGGTATCCTCTTGGTTATTGACTTCATCACAGGGGTTGCTCTACCTCATACAAAGTCCCATTGTCTCTCAAAAGTCATCCTGATAACATAGAAATTTAAGCAAGTGCACTCCTTTTTTTTACAGAATGCTTTCAGGCTTTCATATAGATCCAGGAACTAGGGCTGTGCGAAAATTCGACGGGTGTTTTGTTTTGAAGCTGTTTCAATGCGTTTTGAGCTCAAAACACCAATAATCAAAATGAAACAAAAGGCTTCAAAACATCTTTGATACAAAATGAGGGCACTCAAAATGTTTGGAAAGCATCAAAATATTTTGGGTTTTGAAGCCGGGCTTGCTGCAGCTAAACAGACACTAAGGAGAGGAAGGGGGAAGAGGGGGAAAAGACTGCTCTGATATTGGCATGTAGCTCCCTGTTCGATTCCCCAGCCCTCTGATCATTTCCCCATCTCTTCCTGGGGGGTGCAGGCCCCTGATCTGTGCATGGGGTTTCAGCAGGCTGCTGCTGAAACTGCACTGGCAGCCTGCTGAAACTCAGCCCGCAGATCCTGAGACCTGCACCCCCCAGGAAGAGCTGGGGAAATGATCAGAGACCTGGGGGAAGTGATCAGAGAGCTGGAGAATCGAACTGGGAACTGTGGAATCAAACTGGGAGTTGGAGGAATGTTCATGGGCTGTGCCAGACTCCTTCTGGGGGGAGCAGACCCCAAGATCTGCATGCGGGACGACAGAAGGCTGCTGCTGCCAGCAAATGATACGAGTTTTGCTTTGCACGGTTTCAGGAGCATTTTCCCAGAACCCCCTAAACCTATCTCCTTGAAATTTGGCAGACTTAATGCCCCTAGGAGGGGCTACCATTTCTGCAATTTGCATCCTAATCAGGCAAGAAATGACAACGTTATAAGCATTTGCATGATTCCCCATTATAGCCTATGGGCAAAACATTGAAACACGTCAAAACAACAAAACAGCTTCGATGAAACGAAACAGAAGAGTGTTTCGAAATGAAATGAAATGACAAAACAAAACACTGTCCCTTTGGAATGGCAAAATGGTTTCACACAGCCCTACCAGGAACCTCCAGACTGAAAATATTTTGGTCTTTTGGCAATTTTTTTTATGAAAACCTGCTTTTTTTTTTTAAGTATTCTTTTTAGAGATTTCCCAAGCAGTTACTTCTGTTATTTTATCTGTATTAAAGTTTGCATTTAAGAAAAGCACTGACTCCATAACAATACTCAGTGCTCTTTTATTGATATATAGTCCAGAAACAAAAACTTTTCTTAATGGATTGAGTACGAGACTATTGTTATTACCAGAGGTGCACCGATAAAGATATTTTTTGGCCAATACCTATTGATCCTATTAACCATCCATATCGACGGATACTGATCTGATAGCCTATATGTAGCCTGGCAGTGTGGAGATCAACATCCAGCCATGAAGTCTGGGGTGAGGAAGGGGAGTAGGGGAGAGAAGGGGCGTGGTGGGGCAATCGAGGCCCCCATGGTGAGGGAGGGAGTGGGGCTGAGGCAGGGGTAGGGGAAGGTGCTGCCCAGCCAGGCAGGGATGGAGCCACAGGTGGTTCATCAGGGTTGTGCCGGGTGGCAGATAGCTCCCCACTGCTGCATGCACTCCCAGGGGAGACATGGGGGTCATGTACCCCCTGGATTTCTGCCTGGGGTGAGGGAGGGCTGCCCACTGTGTGCTCAGGGCTGAGGCTATACCAGCCTCTGTCCAGCGGAGGGAATGGGATGGGGCTGTACTCAAGGAGGGTGGGATGGACATTGCCAGCACTGGATGGGGCTACAGGATGGGCTATAGTATCCCAAAATTCCCCATAGCCACCCCTGCCAGCACCTGTCCTGAGCACAGCCCCAGCCCAACCCCCTTTCCCCCCGGAAGGAGGCAGGCACAGCCCCTGGCCCAGAGGCCACAGAGGGCAGCCCACCCTTGCCTTGCATACAAATATGGGGGGCACGTGCCCCCCCATGCCACCCCCTAAGCCTCCCTGACAAGCCACCCGTGACTCTATCCTGCAACCTGCCCCAGCTGGGTAACACCTGCCCCTGCCCCAGCCCTACTCCCTCCCTCACTGTGGGGGCCTCGATATGACCCCGCTATACCCCTTCCCTCCCCCATGCCCCTTCCCGCTTACAGACTTACCAGCTGGACACTGCTCTCCGTGCTACCACACGGTGTCTTTTGGCCATGTGCGTGTTGCAACTGTACATATACATGCGGCATTTATCAGTGACCTTATCAGCTACACTGGCTAAAAAAAGCCAATTGCAGATAATGTCAATTTTCCTTTTATTGGTGCCGATCCGATATGGACTGATATATTGGTGCACCTCTAGTTATTACTCTCCAAACCACAACTAAATGGTAATATAAATCCACTTCATGCATTGGCATCTTTACTTTTCCTCACTTTAGAGCAGAGGTGTGATAGGAAAGATGGTAGTATTGATTAAGCAGAGCAGCAGATACAGGTACTATAGCATGTGTTTGGAATTTTCCCCTTACAAATTCCTTAGAAATGAATATAAGATGGTTATCATCCTAGCGAATTAAAAGAAAGCCTTCAACAGTTCAATCTTAGAACAGGAAAAGGATTACTTCTGCAGCTATTTTTAAGCTTTTCCATGTAGTTTGTTGTATATGTCCTTGATTTCCTTGTATTGATTCTGTAAGTCTGGAAAAAAAGAACAGCAAATTAATGCATAAATAATCAGCTGTCTTTTTTAAAGAAAAATTGACATTAATTTTCATTATACAGCAAAAAACATTATGTTATTCTCCATGTACCGCTAAATGAATGGGAACCAATTAAGCTATTCGAAACAGTAGGCAAACTTAAAATCTGAGAATGTGATTAAGCTACAAATGCACCTTTGGACCCCAGTCTAACACTTAATTGTGTTTAAATGTTAAGCAGGTTTTTAAGTGCTTTGCCAGGTCAGGCCTTAATGTGGGTAAAGCATCACTATTCATTCCCATTTTATAGTTGAGGAAGCTGAGGCACAGAGGGGGCAAGGGGACATGCCAAAGGTCTGTGTCAGAGTGAGCAATATCCCCAGACAGCTCTGTGGTTCAAGCCCTAGGCTCAGACTGAGGAGATCTTGGTTCAGTCCCCAGCTCTGACACTGATTCCTTGTCTGACCTTTGGCAAATCTACATCCTTAAGAAGCCCAATCCATCATGCACCGAGGTCCAGGCTGAGTTTCTCCCTGGGGAGGATTTAAGAAGGAGCCTTACACAGCTCAGGCTGCAGTGTTACCAGACACCCTTCCTGCACATCTGTCTGCAGCTGCTCCATGATCAGAGCAAGGGAAAGGCACTGGGGCCACCCAATCTCTACAGGTGTTCTCCAGTCTGCTGTTCTGCAAGAGCCCTCCTTGGGAGGGCATGTGCATAGGAACAGCCACGATCTAAAGCTCTTCCCCCATCAGGCCCCTTGAGCCACCCAGTCCTGTGTTGTGGGTGGAAGGGGAACCATGTTTGTCCCCCACACTAACTAAGCACAATAAGTGTATTACCCAAGACCAGGGCTCAATTCCTTACACTTAAAAGCCAATTTACACCCAAACGCCACTTCAGGTCCCAATCCAATCGGTGCCGCTCAGCAGTACAGCATCCATCCCACACTAATATTTAACCTTAACTTCTCATGATGGAACTTGAGCCCATTACTCCTTTCTCTGTCATCTGCCACCACAGAGAACAGCCCAGCTCCATCCTCTTTGCAACCCCCCTGCAGGGAGGCGAAGGCTGCTATTCAATCCCCCTCGGTCTTCTCTTCTCCAGACTAAATCAATCCAACTCCCTCAGCCTCTCCTCACAAGTCATGTGCCCCAGCCCCTGAACCATTTTCATTGCCCTCTGCTGGACTGTCCCAATGCGTCCACTTCCTTTCTGTAGTGGGGCAGCCAAAACTGGACTCCAGATGTGGCCTCACCAGTGCTGAATAGAGAGGAAGACTTCAAGCCCCCAGCCTAAATCAACCCACCCCCCCCAGCCTCTCCTCACAAGTCATGTGCCCCAGCCCCTGAACCATTTTCATTGCCCTCTGCTGGACTGTCCCAATGCGTCCACTTCCTTTCTGTAGTGGGGCAGCCAAAACTGGACTCCAGATGTGGCCTCACCAGTGCTGAATAGAGAGGAAGACTTCAAGATTTCATCCTGCAAGATCTCAGATTTTTACCTGGAAGTTTCTCGGCAAGCTCTTCCCTCTGAGACAAAGCAAGGTTCAGCATGTTGGAAAAGTTCTTGTTCAGTGTTCTTGTAATCTTGTCCTGCAGCAAGCACAGAGCACAGCACATGAGCATGGAATGGATCTCAGAGGCTTTCCCTCTTGTTAGCTACACAGAGCCGGCCCAGCTAAGGAAAGTGGAGCCATGGGCTCCTCCTTCTAGTGTATTTTCCACTAAATCATGAAGCTGTAATCAAAGGGTCACTCAGCTACACCTATACTGTCCTACTAATGAGTTATGTAGGTGTTGACCGTACTAGGATCCAAGTCCCTACCTCCAGGCTGTGTGGAAGCATCTACCATAATAAGGCATTTGTACACATATCTGGTTTTACTAGCTAAGGATATTCCCTAGGTTTATTTCAATCTCACAAGTACTGCAACAAACACTCATAATGGGTTAATGTGCTATTACTAGTAAAAGACACTAGGGGGCACCTCATAACAATTTTACCCTCCTGACCTCCTAGTACGAAATTACAGCAGGGGGTAGTTTAGGTGATTGGTTTCTTTTTTTCAGGTGGCTTTCTATTGCACTCCTCCCTCCCCATCCCCAAGTTTCTTCCGTTCACCCAGCTATTCATTGTTGGGTGCTCTCTCCTGGTGCTGTCCCCGACAAATCTACATAGTATCCACTTTTTCCCCTCCCATCATTGGGGGTACTCTTGCAATTTCCAGTGGAACCCGTAATTTGAAGACCACGAGAAATTGTTGTCTGTTGGGCAAAGCCTGTTTGGCTGATTTCAGCCATCACCCTGGCTAGAGAAAGCTGGGGTGCATCCTAGGTGGACCTCGGGACACAAAGATGGGGGGTGCTGGTTTTTGGAAACACTCTCCCTGCACTGGCCACTAACCAGAACAGTTGGGGGGTGAGCACTGGAGCTCCTAATCTGAAGATCGAAAGGAATTGTTGCCTGCTGGGCGAACCATCTTTGTATACTGTTAGAGGGATCTCAGTGACTAAGGGCACAGATGTGGGGTGCTGTTTTCGGGAAACTTGAAAGACTGCCTGGCCAGCCCTCACCTCCAGCTTTGATTGGTGCCCAGGTGGCCAGCATAAACCAAGTGATGGGGGTGTGGACTTGGGGTAATACCCCCTTTTTTTTGGTTTGTATTTCCATAAACAGTCTCCCTGCACAGACCATTAATCAGAACCCCGTGTAAGGACAACTTTTCTGCCGGTCAGCAAAGCATTTTTGTGTGCTCTACCTGAAAAATGTACTAGCGTGGTTAATTTTGGGGAGATCAGTAAGCAGCTTTTGCTTTTTCTAAACCTGTTTTTCCATGCGGCATCATTCCTCATTTTAAAAAACAACTTCAAACAGCTTTGCAATTCTGCTTCAGGCTACACAGTTGAAAACCATGTAAACACAGCTTATCTCTTCTGTAGCGGCCGTTGATGGCCAGACTACCCAAACCCTCCGCCCCTTCCCCCAGCATACCTGCTTTCCCCTCCCCCCGCCCCCGGCCATCCCTGGAGAGACCTTTGGGGTTTCCAGTGGAGCCCCAAATTCACAGAGTATTTGTTCCCTGCTGGGAACAAAAGTAATTGTTCCCTGCTGGGTGAAGCCTGTTTGGATGCTTGCAGCCATCACCCTGGTCAGAAAAAGCTGGGATGCATCCTAGGGGGACCTTAGGGCACAAAGGTGGGGGTGCTGTTTTTTGGAAACACCTTCCCTGCACTCACCACTAATCAGAACCTTGCATAAGCTTTGTGGCTTAGTCAGAGGCATTGTTTTATCAGTTACCCTATTTGCTTGTCAAGTCTGCTTTCCTGCATCTCTGGTTACTAGGGCTGTGTGAAATGCCACCATTACATTTCACCTTGAGTTTGATGGTTCAACAGAACAGTGTTTTGTATCAAATTTTATTTGGAGTCAAAACAGTCATTCTGTTCTGTTGAAGCAGAAAGGCTGTTTTGATGCTGTTTTGAGTTTCACTGGGGTTGTGGAGTCAGCCCAGCTAGATCATGCCGGGGGTACTAGGCAGCCCACCTGGGCTGTTTCCCCATCCCCTGCACTAGATCACATCGGGGGCAACAAGGCAGCCTAGGCAGCCCACACTAGATTGTGCCAGAGGCAGAAGGCAGCCCAGCTGGGCTGCTTTCCCATCCCCCACACTAGATCACACGGTGGGTGGGAGGCAGCCCAGGTAGGCTGCTTCCCTGTCCCCCATGCTACATGATGGTGGGGGTGGCAAGATTCCCGGTTCCCCATGCTAGATCACACTGGGGGAAGAAGGCAGCCCAGCTGGGATGCTTCTTTGTTCCCCATGCTAAATTACACCGGGGCAGAAAGGGAGCCCAGTTGGGCTGCTTTCCAGTTCCCCACAGTAGATTGTGTCGGGGGTGACAGGCAGCTCAGCTGGGCTGCTTTCCGGTTCCCTGTGCTAGATCATTCCAGGGCAGCAGGCAGCCCAGCTGGGCTGTTATTCCATCCCCCACACTAGATCATGCCAGGGGCAGGAGTCAGTTCATCTGGGCTGCTTTCCCATCTCCCATGCTAGATAATGCAGGGCAGGGCATGGCAGGCAGCCCACCTGGGCTGCTTCCTGGTCCCCCATGCTAGATCATGCTGGGGATGGAAGGCAGCCCAGCAGGGCTGCTTCCTGGTCCCATGCACTAGATTGTACCAAGGGCTACAGGCAGCCCATCTGGGCTTCCCAGATCCCCATGCCAAATATGCATGGGGATGGCAAGCAGCCCACCTGGGCTGCTGCCCAGTCCCCCATGCTAGATTGCACCAGGGGCAGCAGGCAGCCCAGCCGGGCTGCCTCACCATCCTCAGCACAATCTAGTGTGGGGGACAGGAAATCAGCCCAGCTGGGCTGCCTGCCACCCCCAGCGCAAACTAGCACAGGGGACAAGAAAGCAGTCCAGGTGGGCTGCCTTGCCGTCCTGGCGTGATCTAGCGTAGGGGATAGGGAAGCAACCCAGCTGGGTTACCTGCTAATGCATGATAAAGTGTGGTTAGATTTACTGATCACTTCATCACAGTGATGACTCATGTTCCTGTTGGTGTCAACAGTGACTCCAAAATCCCTTTCTGCTGCTGTGCTGCTGAGAAGGTCATCCCCCAGTCTGTAAGTATGTTGGTGATTCCTTCTTCCTAGGTGCAGCGCCTTGCATTTGTCCTTATTGAACTGCATACTATTCTCTTCTGCCCACTTTTCCAACCTGTCCAGATCTGCCTATATTCATTCTGTACCCTATGGTGTGTTAACTTTACCCCATAATTTGTTATCATGTGCAAATTTGGACAGAGTGCTTCCCACACCCTCATCCAAGTCACTGATGGACTTGGCATGTCAGATCCTTGACCAGCATAAAACAGCCTTAGTCCACTGTTTCCAGGGGAGCTTAGGCAGCCCTGAGGGGACTCAGGAAAGAGAAGAGAAGCAAACCAAGAGGTAGAGAAGGCAGACAGAAACAAGAGTGGATCTTACAGTAGGGGACTGGGGGAGGAGATATGACAGACCACCACATCAGGGAGAGGAGGTAGATGAGATGTTCTTTACACAAGTAGCAAAAACACCCGACACACTGAAGATAGTAATAAGGGGGATTTCACCTCTTGTCTATTTTTTGAAAGGAAAATAGGGCAAAGCATGAAGGGCTAAATCCTACTTCACCTTGCACAATGAAATGAAGTGGATACAGCCACATGACTGAAGACTGTGGAACTTGCACTGTTTGCGATTCTGTCCCGGCCACATAAGCGTGCAGAAAACCACAGAGTCTGCAATGCGGGTTGCACTTGGAGCTGCTCTGTCTGAATACTGTACTGCTCCTGGAAGTGCCACCTACCCCATACATGGGGGCCCAGAGGAGGAGGAAGAAACATTGCTCACCTTCAGCTTCTGAAACTCATCCTTCATCCTCTTCGCTGCCTCTTCAAACATCCCACTGCTCACTTCCTTCTCAATGTTCTTCTTGATGATATTCTGCATCGTCTGACAGGCATTTATCCCTCTTACATTTCCAGCCGCTGTTGCAAAGGTAGGAACAGTCACAACACTACATAAGACTGAGATGGATTTGGAGTGGGGATCAAGGGTGGAAAATAACTGCAGTCAACTGTAGTGGCGGACCCATTCTGAGAGAGCTGGCTGCATCTTTCAGGAACCCTGTACTGCCTCCCAGAGAAAGAAGCTGTGCTGCTGAACTGGAGAACTGGGTATCTTCAATTCCTCAAGACCAGTGATTTCGCTGTGCCTACCCTTGCCATAGCCCTCACCATGAGGAGTCTGCTCTGCCTCAAGGCAGTGCACCCGCTCCCCACTGACAATGTAGGGCTGAGCAGGAGTTGACCTGAAGTCTCCTCATTACAAGGCTCGTCCTATTTCCAGCCTGCCAAAGCTCAGTGACTCTGGCCCTCCTCCTAGCATGCCCAAACTATAGACCTGTGACTGTGTTGACTTTTTGGTGACTCTGCAGCCTGGCGACAACGGAAAATTACAGTAATGCTGACTCTCCTAAAAAAACAAAATCACAAGACTCCTGATTTCCAAGTCAAATTACCTCTGACTCAGGATCTCCTGATAGAGAAATCAAATCTCTGGATTTTTTCTTCTGGTACATGTTGTGGCGGGCCAGTAGGGGGCGCTCCTGCGTTGAGCCGCCCACCTCCCTGCGCCGCCCACCTTCCAGGCTCCGAGTGCCTCCCTTAGGGTGCCTCCCGTCC